TTTTTTCTTAATAAAATTTTTAAAAAAAGGTAATTATTATTATTTTTTATGAACACTAAATTGCGTACTTATGTATAAATACGTTTAAAGTTTACAAACAAATAAAACTGCATTACATTTATCAAATTAAGTGAATATATCACTTAACAACATAAAAAAAAGCTATTTTCATAAAATTTATTAAATAAAAAAAATAAATAAAATGAAGAGCTATAAAAGTTTTATATAATTTTTATTAAACTGCTAATGACAAAAAGCACTTGCTCACAATTTATATATTTAACCCTATAGCCAAAACAGCCAGAACAATTAATTATTTAGACATTAAAAAAATTATATAAATAAATGGCATAAATCACAACTGATTTATTGAATAAAGGCGTAAAATCAACTGCAACCAATATTAATAATTAAAACGGCTTAACTCCTGTCACAGTGCCGAAAGGTGTTGGCTAATTTATGGCACACGGGGGCAATAAGTGTGACAACAGTTGCGCCATGATAATTTATGAAAAATGATAAAAACAACTGCAGCAACAACAACTGATAAGGCCAACTCCCCGACGTGGCCCACGGCGTGTAAAGTTTCTGACATATTCGTGCGGCATTCGTGTGTCTCGCGTGCACTTTACATAAAACGACGGCGACAGCAAATTGAAAACAATAAATAAAATTCGCACCTGAAAGGTGTTGCCCCTATGCCCAGGCCGGAAGTCAAATAAAACACGTTAGGCCATAAACATGCGCCTCGCATATGCCATGAGGGACGCACGTCGAGCATAAACAATGCAAAATTGAGCATACGCTCCGTGAACGAAACTCGATCGGTTTTTGGCTGAAACGAATTTATGCTTACCGCAGCTTCGACTCGTTCTCGAAATGCTTCATAAAACTCTCGCTGGCCGTGTGATGATCCACAATGGTCACATTCCGGCTCTGATACGAGTGCAGCACTGCTATATTCATTTCCACCACGGCCTTGTCCTTCCACAGCGAGGTCGGCGTACGCGTATCCAAGTTCATTTTCAGCGCCACAGTCTGTAAAGGGAGATTGTAAAAGGTTAGTAAAAGTTAAATGTGGTATGGATTATTTAGCTTATATAGAAGAATTATGTATTTTTTTTATTATTGCGGCATCTTACTTCTTCCTTCACTTCTCTCTTTTATATCAAACTTCTGCTTGTTTCTCAGACACTCTATATCTCGCTCTCTGGATCTGCATATTTAATACATAACTTCTCAATGAACCCTCCTCTAGCTCTGCAAAATCTCTCCTACGGTCGTATTTTCTCTCTCTCTCTCTCTCTCTCTCTCTTTCTACCCATGTCTCTCTCTCTCTCTCTTTCTACCCACGTCTCTCCCTCTCTCTCTTTCTACCCATCTCTCTCTCCCTCTCTCTCTCTCTCTCTCTCTCTCTCTCTCTCTCTTCACCCTTAAACTGATGCGACATTGTTAATATTCAATCACAATTTTTTGGTTTTTGTGGCCAAAAACTGATAATTGCACTGCCTACTGCCACGCCCACTCGGCAACAAGTTGCTGCTAACGTTTGTTCACACGCCCATTGCGGTCACTGGGCTTTGGTCTAGAAACTTATATCGATTTTGCCTCTAGCCATGCTGTACAGTGGCCATAATTTAGCTAAAATTTCAGGAAATGGAAAACTTTTCAATTTTCCAGCAGAACCGCGAAAGGGAAAACATTTAAGTTTCAATGCAGACGAAAAACAATTTCTAAATTTTTAGTTGCAATTTCAGAAAATTAAGAAAATTAATATCATAGACTTTTATATAGAATTCCGGATTTTTTTGTCAAAATTCATTTTCAGTATTAATTTCAGTATTCAATATTAATTTTAATTATGAAATCTCTCACTCATAAATAACTAATAATATTTTCATCACATATAATCCAATGTGCTTTTAGAGCTCTTAACAAACATACATAGATATCCCATTATACACATACATATATATTTATATATACAACATCGATATATTTGCCGAGGACTGCGCATTATGTTGTCATCAAATTGAATCATGCTAATGGCAAGTGCGTGTTGAAAACTAATTATGCCAGCCAAATTGAAAGTGCGAATTCATCAAAATTCGATGCAGTTCGAATAACTTGAATTTGTTGCCTCGCAGCAATTAGTGCTCATGTTCCTGTTCGTGTTTCTGTTCGTGTTCGTAGCTGAGTGCCGGCTGCATGCAATATTCAATAATTTCCCAATTCAGGCAGATAAATCCGATTTACTTTAAATGCGCTCGAGCGACTTTTAAACGCACACATTCCTAGGCTCTCAGCTGCCATGACAACCCAAGCTGTACACACACACATAAACTGTCTCGAACCTGCACAACAACGAGTATACACACACACGCACTCATATGTGCACACAGGCTCTGAAATATTTACCAGTAAAACGCTTTATGCCGTTTAAGTAAACGCGATAAAGAACCCGGAGAAGCAGCGAAAGTGTTTCGCACGCCGGGGATTAAATACACTGAAGTTTGTGTGACATCAACGGGATTTTATGCGAAACCTTCGATTTGAATTGATTGTCATTGTATGCATGATACAGTTGTCTTAGTTGAGTTAATATGACGCAGAAATTCACATAGATGCATAGAAATTTTGCAATTTAAATAATATTTTGTAACATAAATAATATTTTACGATAAGACGTCATCTAATATATAATTATTTAAGCACCCTCAAGTTTTTTGTATTTCATATAATTTAATAGGAAATCAAAAATTATGAAGCTTATACAAATCTTTAAAATATTCTGAATGATTTTAAGAATGACTAGATATTAGCTTAAAATTTATTTTTATTTTATTTAAAAGAATTTACAAATCTTTCAAAAGCTTGGAAAATTAAAAAAATTAAAATAAAATGATAAAAAAAAATATATAAAAAACCGCTTTAATAAAATAAAAAAAAAAAAAACGATATTTGTTAACTCTAAATTACTTTAAGATTTGTATATGATATCATTTATTATCATCATATTTATTATCATCAAATTATTATTTATTTTTTTTATATATTTATTATTTTTCTACTTTCTCACTTTGATTTACAAAATCCTTACTAATCTATAAAAGATTCACCTTCACCTGCTCTTTAATGCATCTTTAAAGCAATACCTCGTCAAGTGCCTCTCCACTAGAGGTAGAGTATAAGAACATGATCTATAGAGTAGCCATTGCCTCGTTTGCTGCCGCTTTACATACAATTGCACACCTCTTGGTGTATCCTTTTTTATTAAACAATATTAATGGCTGGCTGGGAGGGTGGGGGAAAACGTAAAATATCCTTATGGAAACGCGACCATTATGGTGTGTAAAATGAAATAAATGCCGGAACATGGGGAGCGTGCGCCGGCGACAAACACATCAAGGACATGCGGCAAGGACAATCCGCGCGCGCTATCAATAACGCAATTACAATATATGGAGGCAGCCTTTTGATCGGCAGCTTTAATGCTTTAAGGCGTCGACAACTTACCTCCAACATATTGCGACGATTTGTGTCGCATAAATTCCGGCAGCCAATCTCTGTGGACATGTACCAGCCGCTGAATGTGGTTGCCGTAAACTGAATGCCGCCCACATCGAATAGCATGCTGGACACGGCGGGCAAGGCGTACCAGCGTAAGCTCAATTCAGTAAACCACTCGAATCTGTGGAGAAGCGAAGAGATAGAGAGAAAGAGTGAAAGAGTGAGAGAGACAGAGAGAGTTGGGTAAAAATTGTTATTTGCCATGCGGATGCGAATCCTTTAAATACACTGTGTCATAACTAGTCAACCAGCTGCTTTGTTAACATAACTGTTGACACACACGCACACACACACACACACACACACACTCTTACTTGGGATGGCTCAGCGGCACTTCCAGTATGAGCTCCGGCGGGTAATCAAAGTAGTCCGGATCGTGACCATTGGCCGACACCACCAGCGGCAATATGTCCCACTCGGTGCCTTTGCCCTTCCAGCCCAGTTTGGTGCAGACCTATGCATGTACATAAAAAATACAACAACAGCAACAACATGAGTATCGAAGCCACCATAAAAAGTGACATGTGTACAAATATGTGGCATACATTCGAGCCGTTTTTGCATGCAAATACATCAACGACCCGACACTGTGCACATGCGAGGACTCAGCAGTGAGTGTGAGTGCGTGCGTGTGTGTGTGTGAGTGTGGGCGTGCGTGTGTCAGTATTTATTGACAGTTTTGTTATTTGTTCGGTTTTTTGCGTATTTAAAATACGATTTATTACATGAAGTTTGTACAACTTTTGTGCCACGCCCCCGGACAGACACACACACATTTATTCAACTGTAATTTGTTGTGTTATTGTGGATTCAAGGGATCTCTCAACTTGTTGGTTTTACCAACAACATGCGGGCCAACACATGCTGAAATATATATGTATATCTGCATTTATACATATATATATGTATATTGATAGGTAGATTATGGGCAATAAATAAAGGCCAGCAAACGATTGTGGAAATTGCTTCAATTTCCATGAATCGCCCAGCGGCTGTGCAACATTGATAGGCCTATCCCTACACTCGTGGGAAGCTCAAACGTTCGGAGTCTTTAGCCCTTTGAGCAGAAAGCTATATAATTAATTTCTGCATTCAATGACATTTCTATAAATGCGCCATAGAGTTTACGACAAAAGCTGCAATAAAACTATATT